CCCGCCTCTGCTCTGAGCTGGATTCTAGCGGGGTGGTCAACTGCCTTAAGTGGATTAGATGGGCAAATTCCTCAGGGCTGAACTATGCTTGGCATCCTTTGATAGCTAACATCCTTCAGTCCTTCTGACAACCCTCGTTTGAGTTTTTTTAGCCTTTGAAATCATGTGGTCCTAAAAGAAGTTTTCTAGTGTTTTTTTGTCCCTTATTCCAGTGCACTGCTCTGGTTCCTGCTGACAGCTGGAGCTCCTACAGACCACATATCGGAAAAACAAGGAAACCCCCACCTTGGCTGTTATTTTCCTTTTCGGATGTGTCAGTAGAGGACTGGGCTGGCAGATGAGCTGGGTCCTCTTCTGGCCCATGCACCTGCAGGACAGGCTGTCCGTGACCTGGGTGCAGTAGCATGAGGACATGTGGACCTACCAGCCAAGGGGGTCCTCAGCCAGGTCCTTCTTTGTCCCCTCATCCTAACCCAGTTCAGAAGCAGCCTGCATTGCCTCTGGGATCCTGGCTGGGCTTTTCCTGCGGTGCGAAGGGGCACAGCCTGTGCATGAGGGGGTGATGTGCTGTGGGCGAGAGCTGGACCCCAGGGCAGTTGCTTGGTCCCAGATAACCCGATGGAAGTTGATGGCTTGGGGGAACAAGAGGATAGCAGAGGGCTGGCACAGGTGGGGTTTGTGAGCAGAGATGAATGCAGCATTATCGATCTGGAAACCAAAGCTTGGCTGGCAATGACCGTGCGGGAGCAGGGGGAGATGGGGAAAACCAGGGCTGAGCTGAGCAGCGTGCTGCCTTTGGCTGTGCTTGATCTCCTGGGAAAAGTCCCTGTGACTTGTGACCTGCTTGGCTGGGAGCGCTCAGCCAGCAGCCAAGGATTGTTCCTGCATCCAGTTTTGGCTCATCCTCTGAGTTTATACCCCTTAGATATTATCAGAAACTTCCTGACTCATCCTGGGTAGCAGTATCGCCAGCTTTTTGAGGTCCCTATTGGTTTGCCCCCAAAGTTCAAGCAACGGGGGACACCGGAGTGGCTTTGCAGAGAGGTGGTAAGCTGCCTGTGTCCAAGAGAGTGGAAGCATCTACATTTACAGAGAAGTAATAAACTTTCAAGGTGCTACCAGCCCTGGGAGGGTCTTGCTGCGCTTGATGTAACAGCAACATGTTGTGCTACGGGCTGCAGAAGCTGTCTGCTACACGTTGGAGAAATTGCAGATTTGAACTGCTGAGGTGTGATGCAGGAAGGCTTATTTTACAGAAATACAGATATTGAACTCTAATCCAAAGAACACCAAGGGCGAAGGGATGCTCGGTCCAGGTTTGTCAGCACTTCCAGCACCCTCTGCTACCACGCGGCAGCTGATTTCTGCCCTGGCTTAGCCACCTCCAGCGCAGACCTCTTAAAACAGTGGATGAGTTTTCTGCTCAGGGCATGCAGGAGCTGCAAGCTGCTGCGGCGATGCAATGTCGGGTCCTTCAGGCAGCGTAGCGGAGGTTGAGGGGTTTGCTGTTGCAATAGCACTTGCGGTGGTGATGCCTTGCGTCACTGCTGGTGAGGGAGGCTGACTTGGTGTCCGCGTAGCTTGTGAGTGTGGGGAAATAATCCAATTATCTGTAATCAGAAGCGCAGGTGCAGGGAGGCTGGTGGAGCTGGGGCGGGGAATGCTGGGCCAGAGTACTTGGGTTCTTTGCTTATGCCTTTACATCAACTTGTATTGCTGATATGCCTTTCCACCTGTGCATTTCCAAAGCAGACCCTCTGCTCTCTGGCAAAGACCTTGTCTCCTCTTGCATAAGCCCCAGGATGGCTGCATGCTGTTAAATCCTTGAGAGAGACCCTGTTGGTCAATGCTCCTCGTGAATCCAGCCAGGGATTTCGTGTCCCACCTTTAGCCGTGAAAACCAGTGGACTGTGCTCTCCCGGAGTTGTGGCTGATGGCACCTTCAGCTCTTGCTATGTGGAAAGTTGTGGACTAACAGTAACTGCTAGAAATGGCACTTTCACCTCCTTTCCCTTAAAAAAGGAGATGTGGTTTTGGCGGCCTGCCTTCTTTGTGCTCTACCACCTGCCCCCAAAGTGAGTCTGTTGGGAAGACCATATGGGGATGCTTCAACCCAATCAAGAAATGGCAAGGGGTGGTGGTGGTGTGGGTAGCAGTTTAAAAGCAAAAAGGGCACAAATCAACCACTTTAACCTCAATATCAACATGTTGAAGAGGCAGGTTCTTGCAGCTTGTTTCTGGCCACTGAAAGCAATGTACCGAATGGTGTTGGTCCCTAACAGATGTTGCTGCAGGTGCTTTGTAGGTCCCACCACACTGGCAAGGGACCTGCCTGTGCTGTAGGGGACCAGGCACTTGCTGCCTGAGGCACATCAGCGTGGAAAGCTATGCAAGGCGACAGAGCAGCACAAGGAATGTTTGGTTTTATGGTGTTGCAGTCCCTGAACTGAGCAAGGGAGGGGAGCCACCAGCTTCTGCAGGAGGGGACAGGAGGAGCAGGGACCCACTGGGTTTGTTGGATGGGGCCAAAGCTGTGGGCAGGCTTTGTCCTGGTGACATGCTGTGGGTGAAGCCAAGCTGTGAAAACCAGTGCATTCATCTGAACTAATGGCTTTTAAGCTCAGGATTATCACAGTAATGCAGCTCAAGTTTGCACGCCAGTAACTCCCAGGTATTAACCAGGAAGCCTGAGATGTAGAGATCTTGGGATGAGAAGAGATCAGAGTGCCCTGTTGACAGCAGAAGCTTTGCAGGACCCTGGTGTGCTTTGGAAAGCTGAGAAGGAGGAGGTGGGATGCCTGGGTGCTTCCCTGCTGCTGTGGTTGGGCTGGGTGCAGAAACCATTGGTGCTGGGCCAGGTGGCTTATTTGGTAACCAGACTCCAGCTTGTCATCCATCTCCTCTCCCTTATCCTATCAGCCTCGCACCTCAGCAGACCGAGGGCCTGAGGAAGATGAAAGCTCAGAGACACCTCCAAGTGCCTGTCCCTGTGAGAAGAGCACCCATGGCCTCGGTCACACTTCCCAGACCCTCCTGCTTGGGAAATGGGGCCCATCACAGGGGTATCTACAGTGCCAGGAAAAAATTTGGGTTGAGTGTGTCAGGGACTTGTGCTCCTAAATGAAACCATGCCCCAGAGCTGGCTTTAAATCCCTGGCCAAGCACATGTTTGCAGTTTCTAGACAGAAAATACCTTCACGAAAGGTGTGCTACGTACCCAGCGCTTGCTGCAGTGAGCTGGAGGTCCTTAGCTGAGACATCCCTTCTGCTGTCCTCCACTGAAGGTGTGCAGGTTGAGTGAAGCTGTATTAGACACCTGCAGCCTTCTGTTTGTACTGATGGCTGAAAACACCCAAAAATATGGTTAGTGAGTCCCTGCTCGCCAGGGTCGCATCCCACCATTTCTATACACACATGTTAAGTGTTTCCATCTCTCCTTCAGCATGAGGTGCTGTCTGTGCCCTGGGAGACTTCTGGCTCTCCTGGCCACTCAGCGGCAAGGGGTGTTGCATGGCCCCTGCTCCCAAATTTGAGTCCTTCCCAAGCCAGTGTTTCTTGGTGCAGCTTTATGTGCAATAAGAATCGTATGATGGGCCAGCAACAGCTCTGTGCTGTCTAAAACATGTATCTGGTGCAGGTTGTGTCCTTTCTCACTACCTTGGGTGTCACCTGCACGGGTGGTATTTCAGTTTGACTTTGAGGGGGGAGAGCAGATTTGGCTGTGGTGGTTGACAACATCTCCTTGGGGGATGGCGTGTTGATGGGGAGGAGAGCCTTATGTGCCTACCAGCAATGTCCAGCCATGTATGATCTGCAAGCTCCTGCTCACGAAGAACTACCATCATGGTTGTCTGTGCTCTCACTGCTATTGTTTCCCCCTTAGATAAGCACCAAGCTCCTGTCTCTGGAGCTGAGGTGGGAGTTTGGCTTCAGGATTCCCACAAAATCAGCATTTTGCTGAGGTTTTTTATTTTGTCCTCCACGCTCATATAATAATTAGTTCATTGTGGGTTGTTTGTACCAGAGCAAGTTCTTGTTCTTCCCAGTGCTGGGCTTGGGATGCTCTGGGGGTGTAAATAAATGAATAGATGGGAATAAACATCCCTCCCGATGTCACTTAGTGTTGGCATGCTCTTCCCTTGGCCCGACTGTGCCGAGGGAGCTAGCTGCTAGCGCTGGCCCAGTGCTGAGCTTAGCCCTGGCGAGTCAAAAGGAGGAGGAGGGGAGAAAGCCCCAGCAGTCTCCTGGTGGGGATAGAGGAAAAAATGACTCATCTTCAGGCTAAGAAATGGAGACAAATGAATGAATGCACAAGGAAATGGGGGGAGAGGAGAAAGAAGGGTCTTGTGTTATCATTCCCAGCTGCGTGGCGGTTGCTGCTGAGGAGGAGCTTGCTCCCCTGCTGCTTTGCTGGCTGCTGGAAGAAGATGCTGGGAGGATGGAGCGTTTGGGGATGGGGGGGGATCCCAACCTTGGGGAAAAATGGTGCCGACCCATGCTGGGGCAACTGATCTGGTTTAAACCTCACCTCTAGCTATGCAGGGGTATCTCCTGTCTGTTTATTTTAGATGGCTCTCAGCATTTTAAAAACAATAAAGTTATTTCCAGCTTCATTCCCAAACCCTTTAATGTTCACCCAAACACCAGGTTGCCCCAAGGATTTCCCCGTTATTAATACTTCTTTGTCTCACTCCTAGGACTGGGCGATGACTCCACAGCATTGCCCCTCGCCCCTGCCAGCCCTCCCTTCCCCTCGGAGGGGACTCCAGCGGGGCCGGGCTCCAGGGACGCGGCTGTCTCCGTGCCAGCTACCGGCCAGACCTCGCTGCCCACGTCCACGGGACCTGCCGGAGATGGGGTGTCCTCCGGGCCGGCGGAGGGGGATGGCAGGGATGGCCACAATGCCACCGCTGCGGCGGCACTGTCCCTTCCTCCTTCCTCCGTCACCATAGCAGAGAGCTCATCCGTAGCCTCCAACCCCAGCTCGGTGCCACCAACCTTGGAGACAGCCCCAGGTCTTCGGACAGCAAATACTGCCAGCTTGGCAAGAGGCACGATGGATTTGGGGGCAGCTCCCACCCCCACGGGTATACCTGCATCATCATCCTCCTTCTCCTCCTCCCTCCCCACCAGCCACCTGTACTCATCCCCCGCGACAGTCTTGTCCCCAACGCCCATCCTCATGAGCCCTGGCACCACACAGCCACCGATGCTGACCAAGGATGTCCCTTCGCTGGGGACGCTGGCCATGGCATCAAGCCTGGCCGCGGAGCCAACGTCCCCACCAGTGACTGTGACAAGCCCCACCGCAGCCGAGGCCGTGGCCACCGACAAAACCACCCTTTCCACCGGAGTCACAATGGAAGAGGTCCCGCGCGCCTTGAGCGCAGGTGAGTACCGCTGCTCTCCCTATGTGTATGTAGATATGAGGTCAACCTCAAGGTGCTTGGATCAGAGGGGCAGACCCCCCAGGTTGGAAGGGAAGAGGGGGTCAACTTTCTGCGAGTGGCATTCAGCAAAAGCTGAGCTTTCCTGGAGGAGCCTATGTCATCTGCTCCACCAATGGAGACGAGGAGTCGTAGACACCAAACCTCAGTTGCCCAGAGATGTGAATAAAATCCTTAGTTGCGAATTTGACTCAAAACACTTAAAGATGAGAGGAAACAAGTGCCTGGACACTGGGGGCAGCCTGACTTAGGAAGACGTGGGTTTTTCTTCTCCCTTCTGGAGAGCTCACTAAGCTGACACTAGCTTTCACCTGTAGTCTTCTGCAAGCTCAGATAGCTTAAAAGCACTTCATAAGGCCAGAAAAGGGAGGGATCTGGAACATTTTCTAGCCTTGGCTCAGCACTAAGTGCTGCCTGGTGCTGGGAGGAGCATCAAGGATCAAGTCCATAGTCCTCAAGCAAAGCCCAGCTGTGTTTTATCCCAAATCCACCTGCCTTGCCTCTACGGGAAGGAGGTCATTGCAAAAATATAGGTGTGCCCAGCATCCTCCACAGGAGCTTTGGGAAGCGGTGAGGGAATGTTCCCCCCCACCAGAGATGGCTGGCACGGGTGTATCGGGAACAGCCGGGGTGTGGGCTGAGTGCTATGGGGCCGGCGATGGGACTGGGACTCGGGAAGGCTGAGCGCTGCCCTTTCTGATGGACTTTCCGCAGGGAGCATCGTGGCCATAACCGTGACCGTCATCGTGGTGGTGGTGCTGGTTTTTGGGGCAGCGGCATACCTCAAGATCAGGTAAGGCTGTTTTCGGGGTGCCCCCCCCCACCTCTAAGGCTGCAGCCCCTGTCACCATCGCAAGGGTGATGCTCAGGGGTGAAGCCCTGGGGAGATGCTGTCCCCAAGCCTGGCAGGGTGACGTGCAGTCTCTGGTCCTAGCCAGCACTGCTGCATTTTCTCCCACATCTATATTAAAAAAGCAGAGTTTTTCTTCCTCGATTTACAACAGCCTCACTCAAATGCCGGAGACGCTGTTCAGCATAGTCATAACCAGTAATTATCCCTAGGGCAAGCTGCTGCCACGGGTCTTGCCGTGACTTAGACAATAAACAGCAGCACGGCCCAGCGCTCAGCATCTGTAATGAGGCTTTGCTGACAACTGAGTCGAGCAAAGGTCTTGTTTTAATTCCCTGGCATGTCCCAGTCTGGTTCAACGGGGGCAAAATCCTGCCTGCGCTTATTTTCTCTCCTGGTGCTTCCTGCTAAAATATCCCAAAGTTCAACCTAGTGAGGACTTGCATGCATTTTTTTTTTTTTTTGCCCCACGGTAAAATAACTGATAAATCACCAAAGCAATCGGTAACGCTGGGCGGTTTGCTTGCTTTCCCCTGGCAGGCACTCCTCCTACGGCAGGCTTTTGGATGACCACGACTACGGCTCCTGGGGCAACTACAACAACCCTCTCTATGACGACTCCTAGCAGGGACGAGGAAAAAAATAATAATAATAATAAAAAAAATCCTTAATTTATAAGTGCTTCTGCAGCAGAACATCCGCTGTCGAGGAGGTGCCCGGGCGCCGAGGCAGGATTACGGCAGGTCCGGCGGATGACAGGCAACCGGTGGGCGGGTGCGTGGCGCCCACAATAAACCTGAATTTTGGCCTTTGCGTAGGAAACTCTGGGTCCTGGGGCACGTCGGCCACTTGGTTTGTAGGCAAGGGAACCCAGGTTCCCCAGGGGTAAGGGATGGGGGGAGGTAAAGGGAGAGGATGGAGGTTCAGCCAGCACCGTGGCATCCTTTGAAATGTTGCTGCCCCACGGCTCGGGGACGGGGACACGGGGGCTGCTGAGCCAGACCCAGCAGCGGACGGGGGGTCTCCCATGCTTTCACATGCCCCTTCCTCCAAAATCACCTCCCTGTATCGCCCCGCTGTGAAATCCTTCACCTTGCCTCGCCAGGGACCACAAGCAGTTACAGGGCAGCTCCGTCACCGCTCCCTTTCTCTTCCTGCAGGTGCTTCTGTGCAGGAGCTCGTCATTTCAGTTTTTTCCATTTATTTGTGGTTTTTTTCCCCTCCAAACATAGGCTGGGAGCCCGTGGGAAGGTGCATTGACCACCCACTCTCTTGGGCCAAGAGGTGGCCCATTTCACACACGTGGGTGCTTGCTCCACAGCTTTATTTTTAATCCTTGAAAAACTTGGCTGCTAAAACACAGCAAAGTGGTTTTTTTAATCCCCAATTTATGCATTCAGCTACTAGTGTGCAAAGCCAGGGGGTGGCCAATGGCAGGGCTGGTTTGGGGAGGGGATGCTCACCCCAGCCCACATCCTCTTGTTCGGCCACTTCTACCTCTGGCTAAATCCCCGGCAGTGAAAAGCAAAGCCCGTGGCTCGCATGACCTTGATAAATAAATTGACACTAAACGATGCTGCAAAGGTTTGGGGCATCCCAGCAAGCCCCCAGAGCTGGTCACCATCACCCCGAAGGTTGTAGATCAGCCTCTTCCCAGGGACCCTCAGCAAGATAGCAGCATGACCGAGTTTCTGGAGGAGTTTTGGGAAAGGCAGCAGCACCCCTGGGCAGGTAGAGATGTGCCCGTTTGCAGCAGGTTATGTCCCTGCTTTTAATTACTGACTATTTTCTTGCATGGGGAGGGCATGGAGTTCATCAGGGTATCCTCCAAGATACCTCCTCACTGAAGCCCTGAAGCAGGAGACAATTTGCTGCTATAGGGAGGGCGGCTAAGAAGAAGCCGCCATTCCCTATGGGATGTAAACAGACGAGGCAGGAGAGGCTCAAGCTGCCATCTCACCCGAAACGCAGGCGTTGGTTTGCTTCAGTTTAATCGGTGTCGGCGGCGCAGGCTGGGAAACAGGCTCTGCTGTTCGCCCCGGCTGCTAAACAAAGCGTCCTGGGGAACATCAAAGCTCGGGGCGTTTGCATGATTGCTTCCCACAACAGATGCATCATCTCTTGATTTTCATCGAGCCAGCATAATAAACGCGGCCAGCACCGTAACAGCCACCTGAAAAGGTCAGGAGAAATAAGGACGCCTCCTCCAGCTCTGCTTCCCCAAAGGAAATGCAATCATTATGCATTTTCCTTTTCCTTCCTAGCCTCTTCAGTGGCCAGTCCTTTCACCTTCTTTTTTAAATTACAACTTCTTTTTTCTATTAACATTAGTCCGGTGGCTGAAGCCTGGCTCAACAGCAAGACTTCAGTGTGGGATTTGCTGGCACTAAACCTATCTGCTAAGGTGCAGATACCACGCTCTTCCTCACCCTCTTTTAGTTCAAATGGGGGAGAAAAAGGGAATAAAGCAGCAATCGGTCACTGCAACTTCAAACCGCAGCCAGCCCAGGAAACTGTTGGGGCTGGGAGCATATATAGGGCGAGATTTATGGTAGGACTACTCTGTATCCCATCTCTGTCCTGGGACACCATCCTGCCAGCCGCTAGCTATTCCCACCAGGCTCTGGAAAGAGAGGATGCATTTAGGGAGGCAGGGGAGGAGAGGGGAATGCGATGCCGAGGTGGGAAGCACAGCGGTGGTGCAGGCTCTGAGGATGCTCGGGACGAAGAAAACTCCTTTTCACCTTTTTGGCAGCCAAGAAGTAGTGAATTAGGCCACCCCAGCTAAGAAAAAACCACAAACTAAGTAAAAAAAATCCCACCCTTCTCTTGAAATAAATTGGACCATGCGGTGCTGCACTCGCCCTCCCCGAAACCATGCAGAAAAGGCTCTCCCTCACCCCTGCTAGCAAAAAGTCACCCATTGGGGAGTTCGTCTGCTTTGCTCGGCTTTAAAACCCCTCCTGAGCTACAGTTCAGTATTGTCCAGCAACAGCAAATAGCAGGCATTAAAAAAACCCCAAGCTATTAAAAAAATCACTCACTCTGCTCAAATGCTGCTGCTCAAGTGAGGGAATAAAGGGAGAGGAAAAGCCATCACCTTCACTTAAAAAAATATAATCCCCAGCGGAATAAATTCCTTTCTCATGAAGGAGAACAGAAATTGGGTGTCATCTTCTGCAGGACACTGTGAGTGTTTAGGAGGAAGGTTTGGCCAAGAAATTAAACCAAACCTTATCAGCGTGGGCTGATTTCACACGCAAATTCACACTTCATCTCTGCATCAGCGGCGAAAACCAGAGACACTGTCTCATCCCCAGCACCACCGAGCTGTGGGTCTCACGTGGGGTCCACTCTCCTGCTCAACCCTGCACTTGGATGATTAAAATGAATTAATCTCTCTTGTCTACAATGCAAGGAAGAGGCTGTACATATTTTTAGGGTTATCCTGGCATGAAAGGGGATTCCTTGCTTCCCGCAAAAGCCTGGGACCAGAAGCCATCACCAGTGCCTTTTCTTTGCTCCCTGGCATGGTTTAAGCAGCAAGGCAAAGGCTCTGCCCTAAAGCACTCACCTAACAGGTAAGATAAAGAAGAAAGGATGGACATCCCACCTCCACATACGGCTCAAGCCTCCCAGCCCATCACCCGGGCCTCAGGCCTGTCGAAAGGGAAGACACACACCGCTGGAGACCCTCAGTGAGGTGCCCTCTCCCCTGCAGCCAGCCATGAGCCTTTCTAAAGACATTTACACAGCACCTGAGCTTCAGCTTTATTTCCCCCTCTAGTGAAAAAGGGCTTCTTGCAAAACCGCTTCTATTTTTTAATGGCGCTCACTGCTGCGGGTAGAGAAGGCACTGTGAGGCCGTTACCCACTGACTACAAGCAGCAAATCATAAATGAATATATCACATTTGTTCCCGTAGTTTGGAATCGGAGCCGAAAACAGTAGGCTGGGTTACGTGCTGTGGTACCACCCCCGCGACTCAGAGCATCCTCCTTAAAATGAAAGGGGTAAGCGAAGCTGAGCCAGGCTCCCAGTTTGGGGCCAAAACCAGCTGGGGAAAGGCTTGCCAGGTTGGCTACCGCAAGATACACCCCATAAAGCTCCAAGGCATCGCTGGGTGAAATCCAGCATCGGCCTCAGATAAAAGCTATGGGGTGCAGAGGCAGGGACTGGGACTGAGGTGCAGAGATGCCCTGACACTGCCCGCACGAGGATGGTGCAGGTCAGCCCTCTGCACCGCCACAGGGATGTTAAATACATCACTTCACAAAGAGTAAAGAGCTAAGTGTTTTTTCAGCTAACCCCACGTAAAGCCCAGAGCTCTCCCCAAGCCTCTGCAAGGCACGCCGGCTGCTCCACTGAACTCAGACAGCCCCATCACAGCCCGCCTGCCCAGAAACATGCGGCTAAATTCAGCTGCCTGCTGAATTTGGGGACTTCAGGGGTACCAGGAGATCAGGTCTGCTGGAGGAAAGGTGCTGTGCAGGCAGCTCCGAGATGAGGTGGACGAAGCCAGTGCCGACATCGCACCAAAGGGCTTTCCTGGGTGACCCACGCCACAGATACACCAGACTTCCCATTTCATTTATTCATGATGCATCCACCCTGCGACACCAATTATGCATTTATGTCTACAGCACTGTACGCCAGCAAGGGCCAAGGCGCAAGACAGCCTGAAAAATAACAGATACACTTGCCAAGTGGAAAAAGCATTTTATTATGGGGGGATAATGCCCTCAAAGGGACAACGCCTGTGTTCAAGGTGGTGGCTGCTAACACCCCTCTCATCTTCCACCTCAGACCCTCCAGTTTACACGGGGATTTCTGTCCTCCCACACTACTATGGCAGAGAAGGGGGAAAAAAACCAGCTAGGACATGCCCTAAAAATAGACTTTCTTTTATCCTTCTCTTTTTTTAAAAAAGATGAGGAAAACTCTCTGCCATCAGCTTGCTTTATTTACAAAAATAGCAACCCCCCATTTTTCCCAAAGGCTTCCCACCTCCCCGTCTTTGGCTCGATTTCATCGCAGGGATATTTTATTTATATAGAAAAAATAGTTCACATAGCTCTGTGCAGAACATCCCATTCCCCTGGCCATTCAGGCAGCAGCAGAATCTGGCAGCAGCGCTGCAGATGACGTGATCCCTCTCCAGGTCTCCTGCCCTGCCCTCACCGGAGGCCCAGCAGGCTGCTTTCACCACCACTTCCAGGCTCTGTCCAGCCTCACTCATTGTGCTTTCGTTTGGCTTATTTGTGAATATGCTAATATCTCATCAACATGTTTCCAAGTGTCATCTTCTCAGACTCTTGGTGGAATCAATGAAGTATTAATGACTTCTTAGCAGAGATAGCTATTGGTTGCAGCCTCCAGGAGCAATAATGCTCAGGAGATGGAGTAAGTGATTGGCGACAGCCAGCACAGCTTCACTAAGGGCAAATCGTACCTGACAAATTTGGTGGCCTTCTACAACGGGGTTACAGTGTTGGTGAATAAG